AATCGAAACCATATTATCGTCATATCCAGGTGTGAAGCAATGTGTTGTTCTTGTAAAGGAACACAAGAAGCAGGAAACAGAGACATCATCAACAAAATATCTTGTTGGATATTATGTTTCTAATTGTAATATTGATGAATCTAAAATGAAAAGTTATATGCAGGTAAAGATACCCAACTATATGATACCGAGTCGACTGGTACAGATTGATAGAATACCGATGACGAAGAATGGGAAATTGGATACAAAAGCTTTCTTGGATCTAGAGAGTGATGTTGATTTGAATAGGTTTTGTGCTGCAAGGAATGAATGGGAGATGAGGCTCTGTGAATTATGGTCAGACATACTTGGCTTGGAAAGAGTGGGTGTCTCCGATGATTTTTTTCGGCTTGGGGGCGATAGTATAAGTTTACTACGAATGATTTCTCGATTACAAGTAGATCTCGGTTTGTCTGCGTCCGTAAGTGATATTTTCTCGTTCAGAACGGTGGAAAGCTTCTGTGAACATGTTGTATTGGGTAAGTGCAAGGCTGAAATTAGAAAGTCGTCAGTCTTCGATAAGTTCGAAGAAAATTTATATAATGGGGAAGTAGTACTGTTGCCGATACAAGAATGGTTCTTTTTGAAGCATTCTGCAAGTCTCAACCATTGGAATCAAGCATTCTTCATTGAAGTACCAAAACTAGACTTAAGGAAGCTGAAGGAATGTATCATTAAATTGATTGATTATCATGATGCGTTTAGATTGAGATTCAAGCGGATTGGCTATAGAAAATTTCTCCAGTACTATACTACTTCAGTAGATAGCACCGAAAGCCTTATAGTGAATCATTTGGACGTTCGATCTCTGAAGAATGAAGAAGATCGAGATCAATCACTGAATAAAATGTTGACAGAGTGGCAGAGTCATTTTGATATCGAGAATGGTCCCCTTTTCGCTGTTGGATATTTAAGCGATTTTGATGATGGGAAAGAAAGAATCTGGTTCGCTATGCATCATCTAATTGTAGATACGATAAGCTGGCGTATAATTTGCGAAGACTTACAGAGGCTCTATAATAGTTCTTCACATTTGGGAAGGAAAAGCAGTAGTTATGGACAATGGTCAAAGCTAGTTCAGTTGTATGGAAAACATAAATCTGAGATCGAAGGAATTTACTGGCGTAGTGTTGTTAACCATATTTCATGTTTTAATGATGACTTGTGTAAATCCAATGTTGTGTTTACGAATGAAGCAATGATAAATTCAACGGATATCACATTCAGCATAATGGAAACATCTAATCTATTAAGAGATTGTCCACATGCGTATGGTGCTCATATCAATACGTTAATGTTGACTGCACTCGGTTATGCCCTGCGAGAACTAACACGAAGCCGAATTAACTGTGTGACATTAGAAGGTCATGGTCGTGAAGATATTGAAGAGGGTGATGTAGACGTTAGTCGAACAGTAGGTTGGTTTACAACAATGTATCCGGTTCTCCTTGAAATAGAAGACGATTTGAGGCAAAGTATCCTGAATATTGAATTACATTTGATGCAAATACCCAACAAGGGGATCGGATATGGTACAATTATAGGCTACGAAAATCAAGACTTACCACAAGTTAGCTTCAACTATTTAGGACAGTTCGAAGCAGTATCCTCGATGAAAGCCAGTAACAGCAGTAGGAATAGGAGATGGTATATAACCGATGGAATTGTTGGAGACGTTACAGTGGAGAAAGATAGTGGTCTTGGCGTAATTTCTGTCAATGGATTCTGCATGAAGGGACAAATACGATTTAACATTTCGACCAGACTGGAATCTGGAAGAACAGAACAATTCGCTAATTTATTTAAATCAAAGCTCGAACATATCATTCGTGAACGGTGTTCTATTTCACCACTGAATGAAATCGATTATTCAAATGATTTCGAACATCCATTTGTGTTACTGAACGTTGATTCCATTAATACATTGTTCATTTTACCGCCTGGTCATGGTGGTGCTGAGAGCTACTTCACAAATATTATTCCTAATCTATCATCATATAAACTTGTAGTATTCAACAACTATTATAAAAATCTAAAAGAAAAAAATATGGAGCAAGGTTTTTCATTTGAAACATTAGCTCGTTTATACATAAAATATATAAAACGAATTCAATCAAAATGCCCATATAATCTTTTGGGTTGGAGCTTTGGCGGAGTCTTGTCCTTTGAAATTGCTCGTCAATTAAATAATTCTGGTGATGAAATCGCTAATTTATTTATGATTGACTCTTATTTTAACATGAAGAAAGTTTCTTTGGAAATCTGCATGAGTGATGACGAGAAATTAACCAATGAAATAAATTATTTATATTCACCACAAGTAGAAAACGAGGCTTTTGGATTAAATATAGCCAACAAGAATATAAATGTTGTATTGTTTAAAGCCAATAAGGTGGATTCAAGCAACGAGTTGAAGGATCAAATCGAATTATTAAAATATTATACTAATACACCATTGAATTGTCTAGATACAATAATAAATAAAAAATCTATTCGGGTCATTGAAATGCATGAAGCGACCCATTTTTCTTGGATACATGACAAAGAGCAAATCGTCAGTATTTGTGATTATTTGACAAGTTTATTAACTTGATTAATAAAACCAAATACACTAATGCACAAAGTATATCAATAAATATTTTAGATACTAAAGACATTATCTTATGTCTTTTACATTTTCGCTCGACAAGTATAATTTATCCTACTCTTGTTTCATTATTTTTCTAGCTTTTTGTTAGTTTTTTTTGATTAATTATTTAATAATAATAATAAATATGGACAATATCATATTTTAAACATGATGTATCTAAAAGGAGAGTAGTTGTGGTGTTGTATCATTGCAGCTATATCTGCATGCTCATCCAGGATTATAAATGTACACGAATGTGTTTGCTGTGTTAGTATGCGAAAGTATGCATGACGGTTACATTCTAAAAAGAAACAAGTTTCTTCAAAAACCTTACAAAGTTTTCGAGCTTGTGTCTGTAAGAAACGATTTGGAGGTTTCTGAAACCTCGGAGGCATATAATATTCCCCATGACGAAATCTCAAATATTCATTCGAAAACCGAAAAGAAACGCTTTTGAATGCAATAAAAACTCTACTAAGCTATAATAGATAGGACATTATCACTAGTCTACCACCAGTGACAAGCATTCAATGTAGCTGCAGACATTCGATGAAGCTCTGCTTTGAACCTATCCAGAGCGGGGTGGGGTGTGGGTGTGGGTGTGGGTGTGGGTGTGGGTGTGGGTGTGGGTGTGGGTGTGGGTGTGGGTGTGGGTGTGGGGGTGGGGGTGGGTGTGGGTGTGTGGGTGTGTGGGTGTGTGGGTGTGTGGGTGTGGGTGTGGGTGTGGGTGCGAATTTAGGTGTAGATGTAGGTCATTGCTTTAATTTATTTCGTATTCATCTCCATAACAACACATCTACGAACACCCACACTGACGCCCACC